TTTCAGAAATCGGATACTGTCTCGATAATTAAGTGAAAGAAAGGACAAGGCCCAATATTTGGCCCATCGTAAAACAAGTTAATTTTGTTAGGCCTTTCGCAAAACCACTAATGTTTAAATAATCTTAATTATGGTTAAAATCTAAACTTCCCAATCTCACCAATATTTACCTAAACAATAACTTACTATACTTAAGCAACATTTCCGATTCAATCTTCCTAAAATCTCTGAAACTTAACTAAGAATATTATTGTGTTTCGAAAATTAATGCCGATATTGTCGATATTCCAAGATTGCCGAGATCTCTTTCTATTTAAACACTCCATTACTTGAACTTCAAGTAATTTTTTCCTAAAATATCTATCTAAATTAACGAAATATATAAACCATATTTTGATCAGTTAAAAGATTCATCCTAACATATTCCAAAAAAACAATAATATCAAAGATTGTATCCCACAAAATATGCATCGTTTTTATTTTTGGAGAGTAACCTATGAATACACGAAACCTAATTTACTTTCCTATAAATACTTTACACCTACACCTCATTTTCCATCACCAAAACCGAGAGCTTACAATCATATAACAATACTTAGCATACCTTCCTTCTCTTCCAAATGGCTACTACCTTCGGTTTCCTCAAAGACGTCCGCCCATACAAGGCATCATGGAGGGTTCAAGTAAAGGTTTTGCACGCTTGGCGTCAATACCTAGAATCCACCGGTGAAACATTAGAGATTGTATTCTCTGACGAACTGGTAAACATATTACAACTATGTATTTTCACATAATTACTTTATCCTTCTACGTACATATACTAAAACAAAACTTCATTCCTATTCAATACAGGGAAAAAAAATTCATTGCTCTGTTAGGAAGGACTTGGTGAGCAAGTATGTTAATGAGCTTCAAGTTGGTAAGTGGGTCTTCATTGAGACTTTTGGCCTCAACTATGCAACTGGACAATACAGACCTACTCAACACCTCTACAAGATGACATTCCAAACAGGGACGAACATCATTCCATGTGAACCAAAGTCAGATTCTAACTTTCTGACACTCGCAAAGTTTAGTAAGATACAAAGTGGTGAGCTCAATCCATATATGTTGGTCGGTAAGTAACAACTCTTGTGTATTTTTAAATCGTGAACTAGCAATGAAGTATTGTATCGTTGAATCCTTAATTATGTTTAAAAAATGAATCTTGAATTTGCAGATGCCATAGGACAGATTGTTACTATTGGAGAGTTGGAAAATCTCGAAGCAAAAAACAAACCAACTACCAAAATTGAGTTTGAGATTCGCGATGAAACGTAAGTGTTTTAAATATTTTCATGCATTTTCGTATTGAACCAATAAGTTTCTCTACACTATTTTGACTGATACATATACTCTTCTTTTCTCTTAGTGATGAAAGGATAGCATGTACCCTCTGGGGCAAATTTGCTGAACAGGTTTTTAATGCCTGTCAAAATTCTGATGGAAGGATTGTGGTCTGCATCCTAAGATTTGTGAAGATCAAACCCTTCAAGGGTACATACTTTAGTATAATTTTCTTATACTTGATTAAAAGGAAAATACTTATTGAACCTTTGCATAATTTTGTATCTTTTAGGTGTTATGGGTTTATCTAACTCTTTTGATGTGACTCAAGTTCACGTGAACCCACCATGGAATGAAGTTGCTGTTTTCACCCAAAGGTATGGTTAACTACTCTATTTGTATTCTTTTAATTTTGTTAACTTAATTCTGATTTACTACTAACTAAATCAATCTTTGCGTTTATAGATTGCCAGATGATGGTCTAAGACTAAGTTTCCGTGAGAGACAACCAAGACGGGAGATGATAACTGTTAAGGATGAGGATTATCTTGAGTTTCCAAGGAAAACAATCTCTCAGCTGAAGAATTCTACAGAGGTATATTTTTCTTACGAACTCTATGTTAACATGTATGCTAATGTATTCCATATGTTTTCCTAGATTGGAAAGGTTAGGCTTCTGTGTACGCTCTATGCCATAGATACGGACTGGGCTTGGTATTACATTAGTTGTCGCAAGTGCAATAGGAAGGTTAATCATATCCATGCTGGAGTGAATGGTGTGAATAACAAAGGCAAAAAACCAAGATTTTGGTGTGATATTTGCAAAACTGTTGTCACAAATGTTGTTTCAAGGTAATGATAAAGAACAGAGACTTTTTTTTTTTTTTCATCAAGAACTGACACTTTATAAGACGCAATTAGTCAGATTCTTTTAGAACAATTTTAATCTGTCAGTTTCTATATATGTTTCAGGTTCATGCTTTACACTCATGTCATGGACAACACTGGAGAGACAAAGTTGCTGATGTTTGATTCCATATGTTCAGAACTCATTGGTGAAACTGCTACATCTGTGCTCGATGGCAGTGTTGATGAGGTAAGTTTGTCTCATATCTAAACAGTTTAATCGTTATATGTTGAGTAATACACATTGTCATTTGACTAAATGACAAATCTTCTATATTGTAGATCGTGGACCCAGAAAATTTACCAGATCCTGTTAAAAATCTTATTGGAAAGACTTTTCTATTTCTGGTATGTGTTGAGCAAGAACACATTTGGGCTGGTAAGGAAATCTTTAAGGTTTTCAAGGTCCTATCGAACGGTGGTCTTCTCGAAGAACAACTTCTTGAATTTTCTGGTGATATGGTGAATGCAGCATCAATGGTCTCCGGTGATGAGGTAATCTATAAACTCAAATCTCTGTTCTATGATATTAGATAGATTTAATCCAGCAGCTATTTAACTTTCTTCTTGCAGGCACCACTCATGTTGGAGAATAGCCAGGAAACTATGGACTCGATTACACCGTCGTCCAAGCGTTACACCGCAGGTCGATTTTACCCCGCGGTACACCGCAGGTCGATTTTTTTATAATAATAGAAATAATATTGCATGCAATAAGTACCGATTTTTTTATAAAAATGGCATAATAATATTTAACTTATTTTACAAATTTTTATAAAATGCATCTTTGAAATCTAAATTTAAAAGAAAATACAAAACAAAAAATGTTGCTCTCAAAACTAAATCGGTACTTAGGATATTGTATGTTACTGTCTCTATATTTTTTAACCGTAAAACTAAAACAAAATTTAGATATAGATATATAGATGATACATTTAAATTTTATAAATAAATATAATTTTCTCAAATAACAAACAAAATAATTAACATTAAATATTTTTTTAAAATATAGCCCCGCGGTGTACCGCGGGTTCAAATCTAGTTTTAATGTAATAAACAGTGGTTTTTCTTTTGAATATAATTTAACATTAAATTCAAAAAAAAAAAGAACAGTGACCCCGTATCGTTCAAATTCGTCGCCAAAGCAGCGACACCAGCGACCAGAAAATGATGAATATACTGCTAAAAAGTTGAGCTTGAAGGTGCCGCTGGAGTAATAAAGAGAGAGAAAAACAAGATCTGAAGTGCTCAAGCCCCAAAAAAACCAAGCCCATTGGGCAAATTTGATCCTTGTTTATCAATTAACTATGGCGAGACTTGAATAGGCCTTTGGGCAATACTTTAAAGCCCAAGCCCAAATTGGAAACATACAACATCTGATGTGCTCACTGAAGAAATCAGAGGAAAAGGTAAAGTAAATTTCGATTCGCGAAAACAATTAACGACGATGCTCTCCGAACTTCCTAGGGATTTGGCAGAGGAGGTACTCTCTAAGCTTCCGGTGACATCTCTGAGAAGAGTGCGGTCTACATGCAAAAAGTGGAACACTTTATCGAAAGATCGATCCTTTACAAGGAGGCTCATCGGTAAAGAAGAAGCAAAGAAGAAGCAGAGGAAGGAGTTTCATGTTGTGATGATGCTCGATTTTAGGGTTTCTTTATCCAGCCTCAATCTCCTCAATCCTAATCCCATAGAGCGTTTAGGTCAACTTATTAGCCTAGACGATGCTAATCAAGTCGACATATCTAACATCTTTCACTGCGATGGTTTCTTGTTATGCACCATGAAAGATATTTCTAGGCTTGTTGTTTGGAACCCTTGTTCTGGGCAAACAATTTGGATCAAACCCAGAAACTCTTTCAACACATGGGACAGGTATGCTCTGGGTTATGATGTGATGAAGAACCACAAATTCTTGAGATTTGTGGATCACTACGACCTTCAAAGGAGGCCCCTACTTCGTGAGTTTGAAATCTACAGTTTTGACTCTAATTCATGGAAGGTTCTTAATGTCAATCCGGACTGGGATATTGAATTTGTTCACCGTGGCTTGTCTCTCCATGGTAACACTTACTGGTTTGCGCGAGACAAGGTTTTTCCACGAGGAGGAGATCATTCTTATTTCTTACTCTGTTATGATTTCACCACCGAGACATTTGGACCGCGTCTGCCTCTGCCTTTTCACCCTTTCTTTGCAGATACTGTGGCTCTATCTAGTGTTGGGGATAACCAGATTGCGGTGTTGTTTCAGCGATGTTCTTCTCCGTATACCTTGAAGATTTGGATTAGCAGCAAGATTGAGCCCAATGCAGTGTCGTGGAAAAAGTCGTTCTTAAAGGTTGATATGAAACCTCTCATGGGTATTTCCTTCTCTTTTACGGGCGGGAGTTTCTTCGTTGACGAGGAGAAGAAGGTGGCTGTGGTTCTTGATAAAAACATTGGTGGTGGATGTGACCCAACTCGAAACATAGCTTACATCATTGGAAAGAAGGGCTACTTCAAGAGAGTTGATCTTGGGGAATCTAGGCACCTAACTTGTTGGCCACTTGGGTGCTCTTATGTTCCCAGCTCTGTCCAAATCAACCACAAAACAGCCTAATCTATTGTCTCGTACATTGGCTTAATCTATTATGCCTAGCACTTGTCATAATTTTAAAGTCTGCTTGTGACAAATGGGGATGAGGACCTGTATGTGCCCATTTGACAAACTATGCTATAGTTTATCGTGTTTGCTTACGGATTATTCAATTTTATTATATGATCAACCTTATAATAAACTGTCTTTGTTAACAATTTATATATAGTGAGGTTGCTTGGACAAAACGCTAATAGATTCAGTCGATGCACTAAACAAGTTTTCGACATCCAGAAATCCTTCCAACAAATATCATCTAGATTCTCAAATTATGATTTCATGTACAAAAAATGAAAAGACATTTAAGTTCATTCTCTGATATGCTTACACATTCCTCATGGCTTAACGTGTTCTCTGATGAACGCTTGTACCTGATCTGTTTCTCCTGTTAGTCCAGACGCCTCAGCGACCGTGACTTTGTTCTGGCAATGCGAAAAGGAAAACACTTCTCCTTCAATCCCGAGAGTGAAGTCATTCGCTATATCAGCTGTTGATATTGCGCTCCTCGAAACCCTAAGTTTCTCTCTGCAAAACACACACATTAATAAAAGGATTATCAATGAGAGCTTATTATTTTCAGGATTTAGAAACAGATAGAAATCAAACTCACATTTCTTTCTCCATCTGCTTGCGGATGAACTCTTTGGTGTGTGCAGTTACTTTATCTGTCTTGTTACAGCAAAGCAGAACCGGGATCTTATTCTTAACAACGCTAGCATTTGTCAGAATGTCGTAAAGGTACCTGGAAAAATACAAACCATGTTTAAGTGTCTATCTCTAAGAATCACTTATGCCCAAGAAAATCATCTTTTATGTGGTAATTGATTACTCTGAAGCTGCACGAATATTTGGGAGGAACTCCAATGCATCTACTACAAACACAACAGCGGCTGCTCGAGGCAAGTATTCTTCTAGCTTAGATCTAAGCCGAGAGTGTCCAGGAACATCAACAAGATGAACAGGCTTTACTTTTCCTTTCTATCAAACACAGAGGCAATATATTTCAAGTCCCTTAAACACTTAACATTCTTAAACAAAACCGAAGTGAAGATCTTTCTTTACCTTAGTGTTGTTTTCATTGTGAAGCACAAAGCTGCCTTCGTTTGGTTCCATTGAAGTTACAGCGCCCTGATGAGAAGATCCATCTCGTAGCTGTCACAATACATAAAAAAGTAAACCAACCATCTTATAACGACACAACAACATTCATCTAGTCGTTTCTTTCAGCAGCTTAAGGATCATAAAACCCTAAAAGTACTCACTTGAAAGAAGAGCGTTGTTTTGCCACTTCCACTTAGCCCACAGAGGAGTACAGTATTGGACTTTGTACGCCTAAACAAACGAACTGCGGAAATCAGCAAAAGTGACAACATTAACAACCAAAGCAGAGGAGTTTTATCCAAAATCTATACCTACAAAATTCCTAGCAGAGTAGTATCCAAATCCTAAAATGAATCACATACCAAATAAGGAAAAGATCAATGAGAAGAAGAATATGGTGTTCACTACTACTTACTAGATAAGAGCCAAATGGTAGCTAATAAGAGAACACCAATAGCAGTATAAAGCTGAGGTGGTGGTATTTGTTGAACAAATTCAATTCCTTGTTTCCACCACTGCTCTGCCACAATCTTCAAGTCTTCCAAGTTGTCCATTTTCGTGCACCTTCTAAACATAACAAGTTACCACCATTAACCTCAGACAAAATACAATCATATTTGGAGATCAAACCATAACAATTATCAGCTTCTTTTAGGCATTTTAAAGAACAGATCTTGTGTAAAGTCTAAGTTTTTCTAGAATTTTAAGTGAAATTGTTCACCGATCAACGAAGAAAACCTATAAGCAAAAAGAAGAAGAGGAATTGAATTGAATTGAAACCTATATGTGTAATTGTTCACCGATCATAAAAAACGAATGCGAATGAGAGGAATTTTAAAACTCAGATCAAGGAAACAGCGAATGAATTAGAGAAGATACCCGAAATTTAGGAGGACTCACTGCTGCGAATCAAAGCAGCAGCGACGGTGATGGAGGAGGAGACGACGCCGGCGGAATTGATGTTGTTATTTGTGAAGACGATCAGACAGAGAATTGGGACTGATAGGGTTTCTTGTATATTTTGTAATTAGCCAAGGGTATTTTGGTCATATACGGACAAGTTATGATGAGTCAACGCATTGAATTGAATTCGTAGATGAAATTTCAATAAACCCTAGTCGTGTTTGAAGGAGAAGTGTCCTCAAATCAGAGTATAAACATTAACAAAAGGATTATCGTAGATGAAATTTCAATAATATGAAAGTTGACCTAAAACATTAATATTGACTCTCTTTTTTTGTCCAAACATTAATATTGACAAATATGCATTTTTTAATAAGTTTTTAAATAAGAAGATTAATAGAGTTACTTTCTAGCTCTCATCATAACTTCCTCCGTTGCTTGTGTTTGAGTAGAGTTGATAACTCAGGAGCAGGTTGAATCAATCTTCATACTACAATTGCTTTGTAAGTCATAAGGGTTGCTAATTAGCTGGTCTTTGCAGAGCGAAACCAAGTGTTTTTCCAAAGTGCATGTAACTAGTAGTATCAGCAAGCTGAGACTGAGACTCTGTTTCGCTGAAAAATCCCGATGACTGAGTGTTAATTCGGTCCGCATAAAGAGAAAAAGAATTGAGAGATTGTGGCTAATGAAACCTCTACCTTAAACCGGTTCGTCTGGATACGACTTGGAAATGGAAACTGGTACTATAGATAGCCGTTTTGATTCAAGTTCTTCATAAGTGACTCAGTAACGTGATCCCTGCATCTCTCGACCCTGCCTGCACCAACATTCAAACACAAGAAAACCCATCTTTAGTATTTACACTTGAGAGTTTGTTTTATTGTTACTTTAGTAGACTTGAGTGGTGTTTGCCTTTCGAGTTGGTCAATAAAGATTCATAATTGTTAAAAAGAAGGTGGACTTTGAAGTCTAAGTGACTTTGGTGGTTAAAAAGTTAAGAAATGCGTGAGCTTGGTTATAAAGAAAAAGAAAATACTTGGCAATTATGTGAGGAGCCAATGTCGCCTTCTCCGTCTTCAGAGTTCAGACTCGAACAGTAGATACAGCAAAAACCTCTTTTCTTAATCTTTATACTCTGATTTGAGGACCCAAAACGATCTATTTTGATCCTTCTTAAGCGTTGCAATCTCTCTCAAGAGATTCTTAAACAACGGCTTGTCATTAAAAGAAACTATGTCCCTGAAATGGTTGACGATGCTGGTCGTGTCCGCACTTCCACCTTTTTGCTGTACAAAGCTGCATATCTTTCGGATCAGGACCTCGGGCTGCAACGAACCTACTCTGCTGCTTGAACCCGAAGAAGACGGTAGCTGCTCAAGGCCAACACCAATGGCTTGTTCTCTGCTTCCGCGTATTCTGTTGAGAAGCTCTGCGGAAGATGGTGCTTTGCCTGAAGATAGACCCGCACTGATTCCGTTCTTGATCACTGATGGTTTGTCTCCACTCTGGGTTAACCGGGAATTGACAGTTGATCCAAATCTCCTCCGTACAGAGGATGGTGCACCTGCACAACCAGATCTTCCCGTCCATGTGGGCACTGAGATGCTTTCGCGGCTACGCAGCATTCGTGATTCGCGCAATGCTTCTGCAGCTCTTCTTGCCACTTGAGATGCTTGGTGTTCAAGTCTCATCTTCTCTTCCTCATCGTTTGCATTCATAATGGCGTCGTGATTCACAGCACTCTGCATTAAAAATTGTAGGAGAGTGAAGCGAATAGGAAATTATTGGAGAAGAAGCTTGAATGAGCAATAATCAACGTACTTACATGTATTCCATGTGCGTCAAAGAGACTCTTTAATATATTTGTCTCTTCATCCATGGCTTCACCAGTTTTATCAGTCGTTTCCACATCTGTTTGCTCCGAGGATCCCTCTGCAGTATTGTGAAGAGCGAGTTGTGTAGCGGATTCAGGTTTTTTATCTGATTGAGCTCCTACAATGTTTATCTCTTCAGCCAGCTGACTGAAAATGTTAGAGGTTTCCGTGGAGGCGTTGCTATCGCCATCATCTTTCAGGATGAAAAGATCTTTCATATCCCGAGCTTTGAAGAATCTTCTCTGTTGTGGATTCTTCAAGATCTTATTGGTGAGAAAATGTTTATAAATCTGTCTATGATATACCTTCTCCTCAATTGTGCCTCGAGTGATCAATCTGTAAACGGTAACATCCTTCTTCTGCCCAATACGCCATGCACGTTCCCTTGCCTGACCGAAAAAGCAGAAAATTGACTGTTATTTAAGGCCATGACGGGTTTTTTGAACACTGAATCTGTGACTTTTAAAGCAAAACGTACCTGCATATCATTTGAGGGGTTCCAATCCGGGTCAAAGATAATGACCCTGTTCGCACCAGTCAAATTTGTTCCCAAACCACCCACCTTCGTCGTCAGAACGAAAACAAACACATCATCTGAATTATTAAACTCATCAATTAAAGCCATTCTCTGTTTCACGGGTGTAAGACCATCCATCCTCCGGTAACTATACTCATTTGCAACCAAGAAGCTCTCGAGGATGTCAAGCATTTGCTGAGTTTGTGAAAACAGAAGTACACGGTGTCCTTGCTGCTTCCAGACCTTGAGCACTTCTGCAACAACCTTCATCTTCCCACTGCGTTCCGGGTTCCCATAATCTGGGTTCTGGTGAGAATGTTCTCTCTCAAGTAGATCAGGGTGGTTGCATATCTTACGCATCACATCAATCCCATAAAGCGAATTCCTGTTGCCATCCAAAATCTGTTCTACTTCGGAGCTCGCAAGGAATGCCCTGTAGGTAGATCGCTGCTCCACAGTGAGGCTGCAAAAGAGAACGTGTTCAGTCTTTTTTGTAAGATGTGCGTTCACATCAGCCTTCATACGGCGGAGAAGGTACGGCATGATCAAATCACGAAGAACAACAGCACACCTGCACATTGTCAAGAATTGTTAGAACACAAACTGTGATGAGTTACCTAAGTGATTCAAAAGAAAGACCAGTTAATTTACCGATAGGCAGTCGACACTTGTAAAGGAGAAGCATTGGCATAGCCACCCACAGTTATGGGAACAGAAAACTCTGCCTCAAACACAGGCAGGACCCCCAGTTTTCCCGGGAAAACAAAATCGAACAAGGACCAGAGTTCTGTTAGTTTATTCTGGATTGGTGCCCCGGTCATAATAATTCGATGGACGGTCTGTAACTGTTTGCACACCAAAGTAATATCAGAATTTGGGTTCCGGATCCGATGGCCTTCGTCCAGTACTGCATAACCCCACTCAATATTGAGTAGCTTCTCACCCTGCAGCCTCAATTGCTCATATGTGGTGATGAGGAGCCCCGACTCAGAATTTAGAACCCGGTTTATCAAAGAATCCCATTTCTTGGTGTTCTTAGACTTTTGCTCATGATCACTATCAACTGAACACTCACTGTCATAATCGCTTTCATTGGCCTTGCCTTGTCCTTTGCCATGCCCAGAATCTTGTGCTGAGTCATGGAGTATTTCCACGTGAAAATCTGGGTACCATTTCTGTGCTTCTCTTCTCCATTGACGCAAGAGTGTAACAGGACATATGATAATACTCGGTTTGTACATCTTACTGAAATGCAAGGATCCGAGAAAAGATAAGACCTGTATAGTTTTACCAAGACCCATCTCGTCCCCGATAATGCCACCAGCCCTTTGGCAATGAAGTTCCCAAAGCCATTGCACCCCAACTCTTTGGTACTCAAAAAGTTTACGAAATATGCATTCAGGAATGTTTAATCCACCTTCAAGCTGTACAGAAGATGTTTCGTTGTCATCTGCATCATCAAAATCAGCTAGCTCTTCTTCCTCACAACTGGAAGTGGGCAAGATTCTCCTTTCATCTCCTGAAACATTGCAACAAGAATCAACATCATAACTTATTGCTTTACATAGACTCAAGTGAGGAAAAAAGGATATGCTTAACATTGATAGAAACTGTTGAGACTTATCACTTAAAAGCATTGCATTGATAACATGTAATATCTAAACAGCAGAATATCCAATATCACAGCCTTATCTTTTCAAAAGCATTCGCTCCAATTACTAGCCATGAAATTCAATCAAAGGTGCCAAACAGCAATCTGTAAATACATATAATTGTCAATAGCATCAGTCATACCACTTTCTTGAAGACTAGAGTCTTCACGAGAGATTCGCTTTCTCCATATCTTTTCAGGCAAAGGCCGCTTCTTTTTGCTCTTCTTCCCAGCTTTACTTTTCTTTACTTCATTATCCGGAGAATCAGGAGTCTTGTAAAGCTTTCTTAGCCTTCTAAAAGGAGCAGTGGGCGGTTCAAGCTTTGGCAAGTCTTCTGCATCAAGTAGCTTGGTTGTAGGGCGAGCCTTTGCAGCCAGCGACATTGATTGGACAGCTCTATCAATACTGTTGGAGTCCTCACTTTTGTCATTTTCGTCGTCTCCTTCGGGTAGGTTGCGCGAGTTTGACGGTCCAGGTTGTTGAAGTCGGCGTTCAAAACCATCGAGCTTGTGAAACGGAGTTAAAATTCCTTTCCTCACCAATTCATCTCTTTCCTAGACAAGAACACCCTTGAAATTAGTCACTGTCTTTCATATATGAATTTTTCATACCCGCATCATATAAAGAGCATAATCTCACAGTAATCAGGTCAAATATATAAAACCTTTAGAAGACAGCTGAACGTACCGTTTCAACAAAACCTGCTGAAGCTGCATCGAAAACAGCATCAAAATCTGTGTCTTCACGAAATGAAACTACTTTCACCTTCTTCCCTTCTCTTCTACTTGGTTTCCGAGTCTCATTCAATTTTCTCTTAAGACTAGGCTTCTCCTTCACCAGATCTCGCAGTAGATTATCGTGATCAGCACTACTAGACGCACTCTGACCATGTAGACCAGTAAGTTCCTTTTCAAGTTGAATTTTTCTCTTCTTAAGACTTCTTAGACGGTCTGTGGCAAGGGCATGCTGAAGTGCAGAACCACTATGTAACCCATGAACTTCTGATTCATCATCTTTCTGTTCTACTGCAATCTCATCCACATGCTCAACAGTTGATGCAACAGCATCTATTTCAAACTTCACAGCCCTCAGTTTATTCAAAAGCTCGTTCTGGCTGGATGAAAGCAGATTGCTTCCTTCAAGCTTCTCCTCCACACTCCCACCCTCATCGTTATCTAGTTTCTTCGTCGCCTGACAAAGAGTACATACTAATACTTCAGACATGAATGTATTGAGGTTGTACCACAAAAGATAATACCTTTAGCGTTCAAGTTTTCATAACTTCTAAACCCTTTCATAGAATCAACAATGCAGCAGTGTTACCGAATGAGCAAATATTACCTCATCAAGTATCGACTGTTCTAGATCTTCAGGATTGGCCGATGTGACACCTAAGCTAGTCAACAAAAACTGATCCTCGTCTTCCTCCATCGAATAATAAATTCAATTCCTTGATGCAACCACAGCTCCAAAATCTTCAAAGTTATCCTTTTTTCTGGCTCTCGCGTCTTCTGCTTCCAAAACATAGCAATTACAACAATTAATCTCCTTCAAACAAGAAAACAATAATCTCTTTCAAGCATTTCATCGAACAGATCGTACGCAACCTATATGAGTAAGGACTTCTATTTTCCTAGAATTCCCGAAATAAATTCGCCAAATAAGTTCAATGTTATTTCCTTTCTCTTAATTGACGGAAAAATCTCAAGATGCTTACGAATTCCAGATAAAATCGACCACGAAACATAAAAACCCATGAGAATTTTTAGGTTAGAAATTTTGGAACTCACTGCTCGGCGATGGGCGAAACTGGTTTCGTCAAAGATGAAAAAGAATTGATGTGATTAGAGAAATATGTTTTTTTCTAATTATATATATACGTTTCTTTATATATATATATATAGATATATATATAACTTTTATTTCTATTTTACCTATTTTTTGGAGGAGTTCTAACTTTTCGAAGAAAAACATTATAACCACATTTATATATAAACCAAAATCTGGCCACATTATAACCATAATATATACATTATTATGATTATGTTTTTGGATTATAACCAAAAACACATAAAAAAATAAACCCGTCCATCGGACGGGTCCTTAGATTATGAATGGATTATTTAAGAAATGGTTATAATGTGGCCAGATTTTAGTTTATATACAAATGTGGTTATAATGTTTTTCTTCGAAAAGTTAGAACTCCTCCAAAAAATAGGATTTTAAGTATTCGTAACATATATAGAAAGAAGATTATCTTATTTATTTAAGTAAAAAATTTATGAAAGATGTAAAGATTTTGTAGTTTTGAATTCGAGATTCTTGAACCAAATGTATATATTTTATCATTTAAATATAAATATAAATATAAATATAAATAAAAAGATTGTTTATCCATCCGCTAAAGAAAATTTATATAAATGTATATAAAGAAAATATAAATATAAAAATATAGTAATATAAGATAAACAAAAAGTGTATGTTTTTAATTATTAATGGGATATATGGATGTATGAGACTAATGGCAAATTCTGTAAATAATCTAATAAATCTTGGGTAATTATCTAAATAGAAGCCAAATCGTTGTGAGAGCGACACATCAGCGTGGCAATCTTGTTAATAACACATGATGGTAAGGTTTTTTTAAAAAAATGTTTCTCTATTAATATATAGGGGATAATCTAAGAATCTTAGATTTGGAACACTACAAAATCTTAGCCTGGAAACTATCAAATCTCATCTTTGCTAAATGTTGGATTTCTTATACTTATTAAAAAAAAAAAATCTTTTTATACTACAAAATCTCGAAATCTTTAAAACATACGGAAATACATATTGCCATAAATGGTAACATTTCGTCAATATTTTTTTATCACGTTGAAGTTTTATTCAAGGTTCAAATATTTCACGGGTAAAACAAATTCTTATATGAAATAGTCCCAAATTTGAATAAAACAAAAAAAAATTTGTAACATGTTTTGTTTTACACAAACAGATCTTGGATCCCGGATAATAATTTTAATCATAATAATTTTACTTGAATCACTTCATCCCGCACATCGTGCGGGTTGTTTTCTAGTTTCTAAATAAGTATTTATCAAACATACCCAAAAAGACAACCCAAAAGAACACAACATAGAAATTATGCAATAGAACTACAGTACATCAGGTTTTTGAGTTATTGAAAACACTGGTCAAGTAGAGAGATTACAAATATATAAGCACAAACAAACAAGAAGAGAAGAAGAAAGCTCCCTGTACAACAAAATAAAGCTCCACTAGAAGAAGAAACCAAAACAAAAGACTTCTTTTTCTGGGAAACTGTTAAAAACCATCATCATAATGAAACCCTCAGATTCTCTGTTTCTTCCTTCTTCTTGAACCTATTCGTCATCGTCATCAAGTTGAACAATCTGTGCCCGTCTCTGAGCGGCTTTCCTTCTGATGAAGAATCCCCATCTCATGGCTGCTTTGATCTTTAGCCATCCTACAACAGCCTTTCCTGAGTTTGAACGGTCCTCTTCGTAATCAGCCATTGCCGTCTGACCAAAAGAATGGAACCCAAACCCATCTTCTCCCATGTTCATTGGAGTTTGCTGGTCACCACCATTCATGCTAAAGAGTCTCAACAGTTGCTGCATATCATCGTTTTCGAGCATTTCGTTACTTCTAGCCCTAATCTCTTCCTCTGATAAAAACCCTTCGACTCCTCTGTTGCATGTATTTGACCAATCATTGTAAGAGTTAATCTCAGGAGGAGGATGAACCAGTTGTTGGTTTTGGGATCCTGTTGCTGGACCCAGCGCCAATCTCACACCACCGTTGCTATTGATCATGCTTTGTGATTCATGAGTGCTGTTAATTAGCTGGTCTTGCGGTGCAAATGAAGAGTTTCCAAAGTGCATGTATGTAGTATCAGCTAGCTGAGATTGACCCGGGAAACTTGAAGCCGGACTCTGGTTGTATGCTGAAAAACACAATGAATGACTGTTAAATTCGGTTCACACCAAAAGAAATTTTTTTTATATTTGTAGCTACTGAACCTCTACCTTCAACAGTTACGTCTGAATAAGATGAAGATGGTTGGCTTGGAACTGAAACTGGTATAGAGTAATCTATAGTATCTGTTTTGCTAACTTGATTGAAGTTCATAAGTGACTTGCTGTCATATTCAATAACCTGATCCCAGTTTTCATAGGCTTTCCTCACCAGTCCATCAACGTAAACCTGCATTACATATAACCTTTTACTATTTTCCGAGTACATGATGGAAGCATCAAGTGTGAATCTATAAGAAGCAGAAGACCCACAAACATACCTTTTGATTGTCAGAAAGAGAATCAGCAGGATAATACTGCTTTCCCGATATAAGACCACTAAACTCGTATATATTGTTGAAAACAACACCAACTGAGTCCTCGGGATAGTAGACGTAAAGCATTTCACTCAAGACACATGTCTTGGAATGCTCTGCAAGTGTCTCCCACATCCTGTTTGACATGCCACTTCCAAGAATCTGAAAATCAGAGTAAGAGTCATCATGATGAATATTTCAACATCTTGGTAAGATACTGGATAATGAAATCGTGCACTCACAGTCCTTAGTTTCTGAGAGTCTTTGACCATAAGACGCAGGAATTCTTTGACATTGTAGATTCCTGCTTTATTGAGTTTCTTATGGAAAGCCCCGTCCTTTCCAATCTTTTCCAACCTCCAGACCTCATCATCCAAAGCAGGTGGGTAATGTTTCTTGTACACTGTAGAAACGAACCATTAGGCAAAAGAAAACAAAGACTCAGATACATCAACGACCAATATCATAGGATGTAATCGGATAAAAAAGGAAAGCAAGAACTTACACTCTCCACGATGGTCCTTCACAGTAAAAGCTTCAGTCTTTGCCTCGCGTACACGCATCCCCTCACAGTAACCAGAAGAGACCTTTACACCCAGCCTGAATTTTCTGCATCTTATCCAACTCGAGTTGTCCGTAAAGATAAGTTCCCCTAATGTTCCCACACCTTCTTTCAACGTCACCTGCACATCACCAGTCAAGAGAGGCCTCTTTCCTTGACGTTCTTTCACCAAATGACCCTCAAATTCTTCTCCACTCCAACCTTCATCATCTTCAGTGTTGAAATCACCGTCAAGCACAACAACATCGAGCTTTGCAGAAGCTTCAGGTCCTACTGTCAAAACATGTCCAGTTGTCATATCCAACAGTACCACATGGATCGCAGCACCTTGCTCCCCTTCTATCTTCCCTCCAGTAAACAAAGGAACAGACAATCTAGACCTGAATTGCAGCTGCAAATTCCTTCCACCGATGCCTTCAATTCGTTTCGGCGAAGACCTGTGAAACCAAGTGTTAGAAGCTGCACAACTACTCCAACCATTAATTCTATCTATTCCCAGAACTGTCAATCTGTCATATGTTACCTTTCACTAAGTCTTGCAGGGCCAAGTTTCGCCAATGCCCGCTCCACCTCTTCACTTACCTGTTTTACAATGCTCACAAGATAAATCAGTAAGCCATAGAACCCCAAGACGGTAAAGAAACACCACAAAGCACCAAAAGACATGTAAACAAGTCGTATTAAGCTTACCACTCGGCGAAGAATCGGTTCCAAAGACGAACAAAGCCTCTGTAAACTATCCATCTTCAAGGCTTCCACAATTACACTGCAATAACAAACATAACTTTCTCAAATCCACAGACAATCAATATACATAACAACCCTTTTCCATTCATACAACTACAAATCAATTATAGTTTTTACAAAGCCAAAATCTATAATCAGAACAAACAATTGTTAAAATTACAAACATAAACACAAATTACCTTGCAAGAGCTGGCCTTTTACGCTCAGGCTGTTGCTGCTGCTGATTATCATCTTCATCCAATTTTCTCTTCTCTCTCATACTATTAGTCCTCTCCATATACCTCGTCTGCATTTTTTACGCTACAAGAAGCTCCGATCTACAAAGATCGATGCAAGTAAAACACTTCACCAACTCAGAGAAAGAATCACAAATCCAGCTCTCAAACTCAAAAAAAAAATCAAAACTTTACCACAACAAATCAAACCCAGCAAGCAAAAGCAAGATTTATGATTTCTACTTAAGTTTCTTCAAGCAAACGGAAAGAGAAGAAACCTGAAAATTCGATTCGAAGGAGAGAGAAAATATACCTCAAAAATGGTGTTTTGGATAGAAGAGAAAGAGAGAGAGAGATAAAATCAAAAGATCAAAAATTAATTTACTTGAATCACTTGTCTAGTTTTGTGATTAGTCGAGTACTTTGACTAGTTTAGTAATTAAAGATAATTATCCAGTGCGGACAAGACCACAGTAGGCTTGGACTGCCGCCACTTTGCTTTTCGTTTATTGGACGACATTCTTGAGCCGGCGGCTAGTGTATGTATTTTCGGCACATGCTATATTCTAAAGTTGATAATTAAATAATAATACTTTGTTGTATAAAGTCCAATTATTTGTTATTAAAAAAAAGATTATAATAGTACAAATACATTCATTTCACCAATAGCAAGATTAGGGATAAGATTCAACATGGGTTATATAATATAGATTACATGAACATAAAAAATCTAATTGCAATGAAAAAGTTAAAGATTTATATATTTTTGTATTTCTATGTTAACTTTTAACAGATTATATTCTTATTGGTCTATTATATAATTAAACTTCAATCTACTTGAGCCTGAGAATGGCCAACTCGGTCAGTTCACCAAACAAAGAAAAGTGATACAATTTTTTAATCAAAATAAATTGCTTTTAAACAGAAGAAATATATTGAAAAGTTGCAACAAATATCAGTCGAATTGCATAACATTTTGACGAATTTTCAAGCAATTTCAATTTTTATCTATTAAAACAATCAAATACAAAATATTATGCCGTTAAGTAAAGAAAACTCCACATCTTTGAACCAATCCACTAGATTCGATCAAGCTCCTTAATTTCTCAAAGTTGTTACTACATTGCAATATTATACGACATTGAAGAAAAGAAGGTATCGTCAAGTACCAATTAAACTGAGGAAGAACTCAACAGATATTTAACATTTGAAGGTCATCGAAAAGCCGAGATCTTCGAATCCACGACAGAGTTTGTTTAGGCAGACATCACTTTCCCCTGTACACATAGAAAAGGATTGTGTTTCAATCTCTTGTTATGTGACAAATCAAGTTGCTACATCATAAAGAGAAAGGACAAATTAGAAGATTGTGTAACTTACGTGTTCATCATCAGAGTTATGTTGTCTCCTTTGAGTAAAATCCTTCCTGAAAATAGGTATTAACACGAGTTATCAAACCATAAGCAAACAAATCAAGACATGTTATCAAAGAGTGAGTTCATGATAACTGACCAAGTGGTTTCCTAGTGTTCTTCTTGATGCTCACTTCTTCGGCCTCATCCAACACCAGATTCATGTATTCGTCAAAACCCTGCAGAAGGAGAAATTGAAACAAGGATTAATGTCATGATACACCCAAAGTCAAGCAGACAAACTCCAAGTTTTCAACCAATTAGAATGACACAATCACAAATCTCAGGTTCCTCCAAACATAGAATCAACCTAAGAAAAGCTAGAATCTTAATCCAAGAAAATATTAAAAGGTATAGCAATACAAATTATAACATGGAACAACTCCACGATTTAAGTCAATGAGAATGACACCATCACAAATCTCAAGTTTCTTCAAATTAGCATAGAATCAACCTAAGAAAAGCTTGAATGCTTGAATCATAACTGGAAAATAATAAAGGACTTACAAGCATATCAACAAATTGAAACAAGGAACACGCAAAGTCAAGTAGGCTGTAGGCAACTATAAGTTTTAAGCCAAAGAGAATGACACACTCATACTCAACGTAATAACAGCTAGAATTATGACTCGATAAGGATAAAAGTTTAGCAGTACAAATGCAGTCTGAGTCAGGACCAACCTTAAGAATCAAACTAGTTTCTATTGACAGGCCTCTTATCAGTTCTTTGTGCAGTAGTAACAGTGACAACTATCAATGTCAACAATCAATTTTTTGATGATTCAATGACTGAACTAAATAAGTTCACCTACTCAACTAACAGCAACAAATGCAACAATTCAAACAGAGACTAAAATTAGAGAGATAGTCACAGTGCTAATGCATTCAATCTCATCTAATCAATTCATGGTAATGGAGCTTCAATAACAACAAATCCGTAGCAAAAAATCGTGTAGTGCAAAAGAATATATGATGATGACTTACAGTGATTCTTCCTTCAATCCTCAAATCTTTCTGCTCAAATAGCCAAATCTGGATCCTAGCTTTCTGCATCACAAATTCAAAAGACCAGAGAACAAATCAGAAGACGAACTAACAACCTAAAACCTCAGAGAGAACAATTACGTTAACGAAAACGAAAGCAAATCAGAAGAAATTGAACAACTTACACTTTGAAGAAACCTAAAAATCAAGTTCTGGAGCCACCGCCGCCACCGGAAAACAAAAGCAAGATACAAAATTAGGTTTCAATATAAACAATAAACAGATGAAACAATGAATCGAAGAAGAAACGTACAATAGGTTGGGTCATAATCCTTTGAACTTTGGTGCTCGCCATGGCTGCCGGAGCTGGAAATCTCTCTGAAGCTTTCAAAATTTCTCTCTGGGAGAAAATCTAAAACCCTAGAAAAATAAAGACAGAGACTTCACTGCGTTTGTCTCTCTGCTAATACGCTCTTTTCAATATTTTCTTAAACTTAGTTCTCGGTCCTCATAAAACTTCAGAATGTTATTTCAGCCCATAACAAATTAATATGATTTTTTGGCCCAAAATATTTTTTTCCTAGACTAAATTATTAAGATATACGAGTAATGATAATTATTAAAATATTACTGTTAGTGTTTAGAAATTGGTGTTAGTGATAATATGTAATCGTATAAAAAAAACATTTACAGCGTTTAATCTTTCTAAATTTTAAATTATTGAGGCATAAATTTTTTTTTTTTTTTTTTTTTTTTTTTTAAGATTCAAACATGTTTTTCGAACAATAAAAACAGTAGCACAAAAGGTAGGGTTTGAGATCAAAATATCTCTCACTCGATTTTCCTCCTCTTCACCTCGAGAGCAGAAGATGAAGACGAAGCTCCCTCTTGAGTTGAAGTGACAGCACCCTGTTGGTTGGAGGAAATGGTAGTGTATCGATGAAGCTGGTACTTGAGGCATAAATTTTATTTAAAATACATTCTAAGAAAAATTGTAACATAAATATAAATTATAAATTATCTAATAAAAGAAAATAATTAAATTTTATAATATATTTTTGTTTTAGTGACTTTATTGACCATTTTTATAATATGAAATAATAATTTTTTTTTCTTTTGTAATATATAGGTAGATAATTGATTATAAAATAAATATTTATATTTTTCATTGACTCATATGTAATACTTGATGGTTGTTGTGCTTTATAATTTCTTCATGTTAAAAGGCTCTAAGCAAAGATAAAAATAAAAAATTAAGAATAAAGAAATATAAGCTCATATATAAATGACAAAAACACACAAGTTCTGTGACTGTGGTTCAACGACTCTATTGCCATGTAAAATTTTATCTAAATTTCTTTTGGAATTATGTTTGTTGAAAGCTTGAATTGGTTTTCCATGGTTCTCTGTGTCTATCAAATTTATAGATAGAATTTTTTGTGTGTTAAGTTAGTACGTTTACTGCATAATGATAATTTCTACTTGAAAGCATTAGAATTTATGAACTGATTTTCATTTCATATAGCATCAATCTTTGCCTTATGTGTTTTTATCTTCTCTCTAAGCATGCATGAACCCTTCGTTTGTGGTTCTATTTTACAATTACTTTGATTTTCTTTTCTTTTTTTTTTATCATTTTTCCAATCTGATTTGATTCTAATTTTAATTTTTGTTTTTACTAGTTGGTGTTGACCAGGCTGCCAAACTAAAAATCTACGATCGGATTTCTGATTGGATGGTAACATACCGCCGTGGTCTATTTGTCTTAGTTACAAAGGACTATGAATACACCATACTTATTGAAGCTGCAAGGCACGCTCTCTCATGGTTTGACGTGCTGACACATGGTCGTCCAATTCTTCAAGATATTTTCATCTCCTACAATATATAATCTTATAACAAAACATTTATAACGGTTTTCATCTTTCAAAATTTTAAACTATTGAGGCATAAATTTTATTTAGAATACATAATAAAGAAAATTGTAACATAAATATAAACTGTAAATTATCTAATAAAAGAAAATAATGAAAATTTATAATATATTTTTTATTTTAGTGACTTTATTGATTGTTTTCTAATATAAAATAGTATTTTTTTTTTTCTTTTGTAATATACTAATATGTAGTTAGATAACTGATTAAAAATAAATATTTATATTAGTCATAGACTCATATATAATACTTGATGGTTGTTGTGCTGTATAATTTCTATATGTGAAAAGTCTCTAAGCAAAGATAGAAATAGAAAATTAAGAATAAAGAAATATAAGCTCAAACGTAAATATATACTTTCAAGTAAAATGCACTAAACTTTAAGAATTTGGTTTTAAATACATAAATAACATATAACTGCATATTTTGAAGTTTGAACATGATTATATATGAAAATTCAATTCAAAATTAAGGTACATTTATCTGATCAATGGATAATTGTACATTTAAAAGTACCTAAAATTGATCAAAATGAACTTAAACTCAAGAGTAAACCATCAGATGATATTAATTTGGTCTGTGATATCATATCTTATTAATCTAACTATTTTCATTGTCTTCTTTATTTACATCATGATAAATGTTGGTTCTCAATGAAACTAGTGCTATTAAAGTTTATAAACTCTTATACGCTCTCACTAAAACATAAAACTACAAACATAATAATTATTTATCAAAAAAAATTTAGTACGTTTGTCATAAAAAATAAAAGTTTCTAATCTGCTTTTTAACATAAAAGTTTGCTATAAGTACAAAGATTGAAGAGAGACTGAAATTTGACCAAATATTATTATCTCACATTCTTGTAAATAATAAACAAACTTCATTCCTCACAACATGAAAATGTACAAAACCAACAATAAGCAGAAATTATAAGAAGTCACAATCTCAAATTTAAAATAAAAGAAGACTAAAAAGCTTAGGCTATATCTATGACTAACTGAATCAAATCCAAATACAAAACAATTAGCTTTGTACAAAGAATCCAGCTTTGAATCTCAATCATTCATTATTTATCATCAGAGACTGAAAAGGAACCTTCTTGATCTCCACAAATGTTGAGTAATCGGTGCTCATTGGTTGCTTCCATGGCTCGCCATCCATTTGCAAGAACGCGTCTCTCCAGTCACCTCCTCTTAGCTCAAATCTTACCGCAGCAGCCTGAAATGATCACCAAAATGGAACAGTCAAACTCATGGCTAAAAGATTATACATTGACCAGTGTCTTTTAAAGTTACCTGAGCTATGTGTTTGGCAGAAATGAGCTCAGCCATGACAAATGACGCGTGCCATCCTTGCTTAAAACCGAAAATCTCTATCAAACCATCATCACAATGTGCTTCCACAAATCCTCTCTGGGAAAAACCAAAAAAAAACATTCAGGTTAACATAAGAGAATTGAGTTCATTTATAATGAAATGGAACAGAGACAATACCTTCTCTAGATAGTCCGGTTTAAGATTACCCCACGGATGGCTTCCACTTCCATAGCTGTGAAGATTCAATGCGACAATTGATCTCACACTACAAAAGAAATCCATATCGTCAGGTTTTAAACATTGAGATCATAGATTGTAATAAGTAAATGATATATCAAAAGCTGTGTATTACTTTTTCGGGACTGCGATCTCCTCCCATTGAGAGCAATTGACCTTTTTGATGTGGATTTTCATAATGTTTCTAAGTCCCCTGCAAATTCGAATAGAACAAACAAGAGGTCAACAACACAAAAAAAGGGCTTAATCAGAGACTTACACAGAAGTTCAAATACACAATCAGAGTCGAAAATGGCGAACCTTAAACCTGGATCGTTGACACAAGGCGTGCAAAACCAACCCTGAGTGCAACCAAATCCTGAATATATAATCTGCAAAAGCAAATGTTGTGTGGTTGATAATATCGTTTCTCAAACCAACATAACTACTCTAGCTTTTAACAAAGACAAATAATGAGGCTCAAGTTTGGATGAAGATATAATAAACAAACCTTATTTGAAATAGGGCCTTGAGCAAGATATGGTTTAGTGTTGCGAAGATGGTGGAAGCCATATGCAACTTGAGCATCCATACCTAAACAAACCCGACAAACACAAGAATCTAGTCAGAAAAATAATTGTGAAACAAATTTTGGATATCAGAAAGAGAAGTTCAACAAACCTATGCTTAAGTAATTGTAGAAAACACCTTCATAAGCCATTGCCAGTGGAGGTGCGTCTATTCCCGCGTCCAAGCCCTGAAACCACAAGAAAGCCTGGTTAATTACTAGATCATGGCAATTTACAAAATCACATTCTAATGATTCAATGAGAAGAAGTAAGCCTAATGAAATAGAGCCAAACCTGATCAAGTTCGTTTTCCTCGGCGGGTTTTAAAGAATAAGGAGGATCCACGACTTCTCCAGATGGCATTGACACTAAAATCTTCCAGCTGCAACACCATATAACCAAAGCATACACATTTTTACAACACGGCTAATAGAATAAAAGCTACATGTTTTGGGAAAAATAAGACTTTTACCTGTCAAGTCTAGCAACTGGACCCATACTTGCGCGATGGAGTGTTCTTTTAACAGCGGATCTCCATGCAAAAGGGAACGAACCACCCTGAAGAAGAGATAGCCAAAAAAACATATTCAATCACAACTCAAGAGTTTTGTCACAACAACATAAGAAAAAAGAACAAAGACAAACTCACCCAACCAAAACTCCTTGAGAGATCATTCCCTGTACCAAGAGGAATAACTCCAACAGGAGGAATATGTGACTTTCCTTCTTTATTAAGCTCTCCAAGACATCCAAGAACCCAACCAACAGTACCATCACCACCTGCAACCTATCCAACCAATTCTCATTCCGATTGCTAAAAACGTAAAATCCATGAGATTAGAGAAACATTGTGAGTACTCACCATAATCCTCAACCTTGCTCTGCATTCTTTTGCACATTCATCTCCTTCCGCTGCCACTTTCTCCAAACACCCCAACCCGTATCGAACAAACTCATGAGGCTTCACTTCCGTAAGGTCAAACACCTGTATTCACACAAAAATCACCATGAAGTTTCATTATCAAAAGCTCAAACCAATAACTTGACAACAAAACTCATTAAGTTCCAACCAATTTACAGAATCACCATTAAGTTCCAATATCAAAGCTCAACAACAAAACTCATAGATTTTACTTTACAACAATTCAGCATTCCAAAAGACTCAATCTTTGAACTTAACTCATCCTTCCAAGTTCCAACAAAACACAAGATCTAACATCAGCTAAGCATAAACACATAAATCAAGCACTTAAAACTTAAAAGCCAAAGACTTTAATACAAAAACAACATAAGATCTGATCAAGACAAATTACTAAACTAACTCAAACCAAAACACAAAGTAGATTTGAAATTGAAGTCAAAGTAAAAACAAAACCTGTTCTTCGCTCATCAACTGTTGAAGCCTCTCTTTAAGCACAGGACCATGACGACCACCAGAATTGGGATTAATGAAAACAACCATTGGAGCATGAGGAGCCATATCAGCAACAGCACCACCAGGAAGAAGCAAATGATCAGGAATCGCCGAGGAATCTTTGCGTTTGATACAGTCACGCATAGCGAGACGAAGATACTCAGGCATCATCAACCTCTGACGAAGCTCTACTTTATCTACACCAACCCATGTCAGATTAGCGAGTCCACAACCTCTTATCGTCTTTGAATCAGCCGTTGATGGTCGTGAAGCCACGAATTTCTCTTTTGATGCATCGGTTTTTGATACCGGAGAGTCCATTTAGTCTCGCCGGAGAAGACAAAAAGATGATTACTTTTCGTTCTGTGATTGGAGAGAAAGAGGAATATTCGAAACCCAGATAATCAAAATTGGAGTTGAAATAAAATAAAGGATTGATTTTTTTTTCTTCTTCTTCTTCGCTGAGAGATTTCAAATCAACCAATATAAAATCTTCGTTGACAGTTTGTAACTTTGTATTTTCTTGTCTGTTTTGTTTTGTTGTTTTGTTTTTTTTATAAATGATAATTTCGAAGACAGCGCACAAAACGTGTGAATTAATTATAAAAATAAATATAATTTTCAAAGAAAATGAGTTTACACGGTTGGATTTCTTTGTGACGTCATAAAAATGCCCGTCTACACGTTGCTTATTCACGAAAGTGCCCCTCTCTAGATTTTTGATTCTTTTTATTGTTTGACATTTAGAAAGCGACTGATAAATGTTTTGTAAAAGTTCTATTTTATGATAATTTTCATTAATAATATATATATATATATATATCTTATTATTAAACTACTACTTAAGAGTTTAATACCATTATTTTCTGTAATTAAGATTTGAGGATTTTTTTTTTCAGTAAGATCTAAAGTTAATTTTAAGGTCTACAAAATCTTTTCTATGATTAATAATGATGACATAAAGATATTTTTTAAATGAGATTTTTTTACTTTATTGTATGTCTCTAAAATTACTTTTTTTTTGGTCAACAGTTATAATTACTAGAAATCATGGTATATCAAGAAAACCAAAGCAAATTAAACAATAGTAATTGATTGATACATTGTTAGTATAAGATCTAATGCTATTTCAATATCAAAAATGGTTCCATTAGAGGTTATAATATGTGGTGAATATGATTGAATACAATTTAATATAGAGATTCTTGCATTATTTGCTTCCTATTATTTGACTGCATTATTGGTTTCTTTTTCTATGTAAAAAATATTTTCAACTTTTCCAATAGAAAACAAAATTCACTGACATTATGCTTAGGAAGAGTGGCGTTTTCGTCATTAAACAAATGAATAGTTTTGGTGTTAACGTAAATTGTTAAAAAAAAAAAAAAAACAGCCAAGGAAAATGAGAGCATACATTGAAGTTAGTGGATTTTCCACAAAATGGGGCCCACATTGGTATTGCCCACTAAGGAATTAGAGTCACTGAAAGTGATAGCTACTTCCCATTGTTGGGATCTTTTCTCACCTAAATTTCCCTCAATGCCTTTTCTTAACTTCTAGAATTGGTTCAAAGTATATAAATTTCACAGAAAACAAAAAAACATCATGTACCACCTTCTTTATTTTATGATATCAGATGTTTTAAGGAAAAAAAAATTTATTTTCACATAAATAATGTTTTGTGACCAAGAATTGTCAAGCTTTTTGGTCCATGTAAACATTTTTATGTGGCAGAGGAAGAATTAAATTCTGGTGGCTGATAAAAAGTGTCGCTTATGATCTTTATGAAATAGAAGACAATGAGCGTGACTTCTCATTGTTACTATGAGATATAGTTACTTTCTTTTTGTAAGAAAAATTATTTCAAATTTTTATTTTGTTATAGAAGGGTTTATGGTCTGGTAATTCTTGTATTGGTTGAAATCTGGTAACTGATAAATTAATGATTAGTACTTCTTCATCATGTACCATACTATAGTTTTATCAGAATATTCTAAAAGTATCCCCATGGTCACATTATGAATATAGAATTATAGATACACTACTTTTGTTCAAGTATCAATATAGTAAACTGGGGTGGGCCAATGTAAGCCCAATCTTTGGAAAGCTTTAACCCAGCCCAAAAAGAGCGTGCTATTTTGTGAATTGAATTGCAAAGTTACCTAAAATACAAATTTTCCTAAAATTAAATTGAATAAAATAACAAAATTTGGGTAGCAAACCGACAATTATCAAAAAAAGTTGTAAAATAGTTTTTTTTTTATTGACAAATGGAAAAATAAAGTTGGCAAAAAAGACAAACAGTAGTAAGCGTTACGAATAAAACCCTACCTCTTACCATATAAATATACCCTAAACGCCACCTGACTTATCAAAACCAAAAAAACAAACTTCAACGGCACGCTTTCTCCTCTGAAATCTCTCCGACAAAACTTGTTCAATCTACCTTTTACCATACTTCAGGTTTGTGTTAATCGTTTTACTAGAACTTCACTGAAAGAGATTGATAGCCCTAATTGAATTTAATCGTTTCTTGATTGAGAATCCAAAACTATTGTGAATGGAACCCATCCATCGTTGCATAGAAACCCTAGTTTCTGAACACCCTTGTGTTATTGTATTGACTCTGATCAACTAGTACTGAAGTTATGAACTTTGATTGATTCCAACAGTGTTTTAAGATAAAATCTGTCGTGATGTCGAAGAACAAGGGCTTAGCTGAACAAGATCTAAGTAAACTTGATGTAGCTCAGCTACATCCTCTCTCTCCTGAGGTCATCTCTCGTCAAGCCACCATTAACATAGGTATAAACAAGTTTTTGTTTCATTGAGTTTTGATGTTAAAGAAACTGAGCCGTGCATTGAAAGCTAAAGATATAACTATCTCAGGAACTATTGGCCATGTCGCTCACGGGAAATCGACAATCGTGAAAGCCGTTTCCGGTGTGCATACTGTCAAATTTAAGAGTGAACTGGAGCGTAACATTACCATTAAACTTGGTTATGCAAACGCAAAGATTTACAAATGTGAAAAATGCCCTAGACCAGTAGCCTACAAGTGAGTTCTTGCTCTCTTCTTTTATTGTTCTTCTTTCGATGTAATAAGGTTGTGTAGCAGCTTATGATCTCTGTTAATTATAGGTCTTTCGGGAGTGGCAAAGAAGACTGTCCAACTTGTGATGTCTCTGGACATGAGATGTGCAAGATGAAACTACTGAGACATGTCTCATTTGTCGATTGCCCGGTATAACGAGTTTTAACACTTCTCTGTTTTACATTCTTATGTAATCATTGTATATGTCAATGAGGTGTCTTGTGTGTTGATAGGGACATGATATTCTGATGGCGACAATGTTGAATGGAGCAGCAATTATGGATGGTGCTCTACTAATTATTGCTGCGAATGAGACATGTCCACAACCACAAACTGCTGAGCATCTTGCTTCTGTTGATATGATGCACCTTAAAGATATCATAATCATTCAGAACAAGATTGATCTCATCCAAGAAAACGAGGCTAGGAGACAGCACGAGGACATTCAGAGATTTATAACGGTTTGATATGATTTTTTCCCATCTCTTAAGAATCTGTTGTTGCATTTTTCACTTCTTGATCAGTTGGTTAAGTTTTAAACTTGTTTCAGAACACAAATGCGGAAGGTGCTCCTATAGTTCCTGTCTCAGCGCAACTGAAATACAACATCGATGTTTTGTGTGAGTACATTGTCAAGAAGATTCCAATCCCTGAAAGGGATTTTGTGTCACCTCCAAGGATGATTGTGATTCGTTCTTTTGATGTCAATAAACCTGGCTCTGACTATAATGATATGAAAGGTGGAGTCGCAGGTGGAAGTATCCTCCAGGTATGCTCAATACACCGAAAACTAGGATAAAATCGCGGTTGAGACAATGTAATATATGTCTCTCTTTGCTATGTTTGTAGGGTGTTTTGAAAGTGGGGCATATAATAGAGATTAGACCTGGAATCACTGGCAAAGATGAGCATGGAGACACTAAATGCACTCCCATCTACACGCGTATAACTTCATTGTACGCGGAACAGAACGAGCTTCAGTTTGCTGTCCCGGGAGGTCTAATTGGGATTGGGACAAGCATGGATCCTACGCTTACGCGTGGTGATAGGTTAGTTGGTCAAGTCCTTGGTGAGATAGGTACTCTCCCTGATGTCTATGTTGAGCTTGAAGTGAGTTTCCAGCTTCTGACCCGTCTCATTGGAGTAAAGACAAAGGAAACAGAGAGGCAAATGAGAGTGTCAAAGCTAATCAAGGGAGAGGTACTGATGTTGAATATCGGATCGATGTCGACGGGAGCTATGGTTATTGGAGTAAAGAAAGATATGATGAAAGTGAAACTGACACTCCCTGTATGCACCAACATAGGAGAGAAAGTGGCTATAAGTCGCCGTGTTGATAGGCATTGGCGTTTGATCGGTCGCGGTCAGATTGAGGCTGGAACCACCATTCCCATCCCTCCTCCTCCTTCTTTGCCATGATTATATTTTCTGCATTCACAAACCAAACTTTTTGTCTCATTATATCTTCATAGTATTCTTAATCTGTCACCAAAAGAGAGAACTAAATTCTAGGTGCCTATGTTTTTGTGTGAAGTCTAACTAGAGTTTGATCAATTGCATCATCTTGTTTTGTTATATTGATTTGTTATAAAAAGTTTATAGTCTATGGTATGGATTTTAAAGCTTAATTAAACTAGTCATCCTAGTTTATATATATGGAATCTTGGTTTGAGAGAAAACTTGTAATAATTTGTGATAGTTGAACTTGAAGACTGGAAGTCATGGTCTCATTCCTAAACCCCAAAACCAGAAAGATTAATGTGCAAAAGATGTATTGGGCCTATAAGGCCTGGCCCATTATCTGGATTCCATAAGAAAAAAAAAGAAAATGAAAAAGAAAAGAAGAAATCGTCGTAGTTGTGGAGAAGGAGAAGAAGAAGGATAAGGATGATAACGGTAAGCGAAGTTTCCTCTTACTCTTCTTCTTCAAACTTCGCGTCTCTGTCTCGTCTCAATCACAAATCATCTTCGAGATTGCAAAGCTCTTCTCTTTATAGAGCAAGCTTCTTCTCTGTTTCGACAAAGACCAGGAGGAACACTTGTAAAGCCAAATCATGGAATCTTGGTCTTGTTATCAACTCTAGAAGGTACTTCCTCTTTCAGATTTCAATCTTTATCTCTGATGGGTTCCATTTGAAATCGAAGATTCTGGTTTTGTTTTAGACAATGCGACTTAAAGTTCGAAACTTTTCATGTGAATTTCTCTAGAATTGCGGAGATTTGAGGGTTATTTCATCACTAGTTCATAGAGATTTATCAACAAATGCGGATGGTTTGTCACTTACTGCTGTATTGTTTGTTGATTGGAGTTGATGTTTCAGCTCTGAGGCTTCGGTTTTTGATCCGCTGGGGATCAATCCAGATGAAACTTCTGGTTTAAGTAACATTTGGGAAAGCTTTGTTAGTATTTTGTCTCCAACATATGAAAGCTCATCCGGTAGCAAACGAGATAAGCCGTCTTCTGGTCGGGGTGTGGCAGGTTCGTTTTAGCTTATATATATTCGCTTATTGTGTGGTACAGAATTATTGATAATGGTTGCTTTACTATTTGAAATCTTCAGCTGCTATTGAGGATAGTTCCATTGATTTTGGAGATTTCTTCAAAGGACCATTGCCGGGGAAGTTTCTGAAGCTTCTTGGATTTTTAGCTCTCTCTCGGCTTGGAATATATATACCACTCGGCGGGGTTAATCGAGAAGCTTTTGTTGGCAATTTGGATCAGAATAGCATTTTGAGCACTTTGGATACATTTTCTGGTGGAGGCATTGGTAGACTTGGTATATGTTCTCTTGGGATTGTTCCTTTCATCAACGCGCAGATTGTGTTTCAGCTTCTTGCTCAAGTCTATCCAAAGTTGCAAGATCTTCAGAAAAAAGAAGGTGAAGCCGGTAGAAAAAAGATTCTTCAGTACACTAGATACGCTTCTGTCGGTTTTGCAATAGTACAAGCAATCGGACAAGTGTTTTACCTTCGTCCTTACGTTAATGACTTCAGCACGGAATGGGTTATTTCTTCTGTTACGTTATTAACGCTTGGTTCTGTTCTCACTACATATATTGGAGAGAGAATTTCTGATCTTAAACTTGGAAATGGCACTTCCCTTTTAATCTTCACAAGTATCATCTCTTACTTGCCTGCATCATTCGGTAGAACAGCAGCAGAGGCCTTACAGGAAGGAAACTATACTGGTCTTGCCACCATCGTTGTTTCATTTCTCCTCTTGGTACTCGGGATTGTGTATGTTCAGGTACTACACCAAAATTTGTCCCTTTTAACGGATCTAAGAAGTTTGGTATGCTTATATAGTCTAACAAACAAAGTTTTCAGGAAGCAGAGAGAAAAATTCCGCTCAATTATGCCTCGAGATACACCAGCAAAGCCGGCGGGCTTCAGAAATCTGCTTATCTTCCATTCAAGGTCAATAGTGCTGGAGTGATGCCTATCATATTCTCCACATCATCTCTTGCTCTTCCTGCTACTCTAGCACGATTTACCGGCATATCTGCTCTGAAGAATGTTGCTTTTGCTTTAAACCCTGGAGGTAAGTTATCCTAATACACACCGAAGAAGAAGATTTAGTCCTTTGAAACTGTTTTTGCCGATGATATAGAGATCTAAAGACTTCACGCACAAACTATTGCAGGTTCTTTCTATCTTCCAACCAATATACTTCTCATAGCTTTCTTCAACTACTACTACACTTTCTTGCAACTTGACCCGGACGATGTGAGTGAACAATTAAAACGCCAAGGTGCATCAATCCCTCTAGTCCGACCTGGTAAAAGCACTGCTCTCTTCATCAAAACAGTAAGATCCTCTCTCTCCTTCCTCAACTTCTTCAAACTACACATATTTAGGTTTATTATTAATCTACTGTCTAAAACTCCCTTGCTCTGATTGCAATATCAGGTCCTTGGTCGAATATCGGTTCTTGGTTCTGCATTTCTGGCTGTTCTAGCTGCTGGTCCCGCTGTAGTCGAACAGATCACTCACTTGACAGCATTCAGAGGATTTGCAGGCACTTCTGTTCTGATCCTTGTCGGGTGTGCGACAGATACTGCAAGAAAGGTTCAAGCAGAGATAATCTCGCAAAAGTACAAGAACATTGAGTTTTACGAGCTTGACAAGTATGATCCATGAACTGGTACCACCTCCTGTTTTACATATGATACCATCGAATCAAGTTACTGTGTTCTCTTGTCATAGATTCAAACTATGTAACAAATGTTTTAACTTTGATTAGTATATAAAAGTTAAACTATGCACTTCTGTTAAGCTTGCCAAAGGAAAAAGAAACCTTAAGAGCACTGCTCTCTTCGATAGGAAAACAAAATTGAAATGAATTCATATAATATCTATTTCCTTTTCTATGTATAAGCATCTCACATGGGGACAAAGTAACCGAATTGACCAGTTCAAGATACTCTGTACAAAAGGCATATAGCAAACCCTAGAACCCTTTCATGTAACCTAAACCTTCAAATCCTACAATCTTTTAATATCACAACAACATAAAATCTAAAGTAAACCCTTTTAAAGATCTATGCTTTCGTTTCGACATTGTCCCATAGGCTGTTGAAAAGTGAACTTGCTCTGTTTCTGCTGTTGTTCATGCTTTGATCCATCTGAAGCTGAGGCCAACCATTCAAGCATCTTGATAACACTTGGGGTATCATCGAGATAGTACTTGGCCTTGCTCGGTTTCTGACCCACTGTGCACGCAAACACCTCTGCGAGACCAATAGAGGAGACATCTTGGTGCTTCACTATGCTATCAAACATGTCTTCATCAGACCGGTCATCACCAATGCACAACAAAAAGTCCGGTCTCTTCCCTTTGGTGTTCCTCATCGTTGCTATCAAATACTCCACCACCTTTCCTTTGCTTACTCCCTGAAAACCAAATTCACATTACAATGATGATAATAATGGCAATTTCGAGCAAGTAAATCTCATAGTAGTTTGTAATATACACCTGAGGTTTAACTTCTACTATGTGCTGGCCTCTCTTGACAACAACGGGCTCATTGGTGAGCACGCTCTCTAGATGATCAAGAAGCTCCTTAGCTTGCCAAGAACCGAATGAATGGTCAGCTTCTTGGTGGTGCCACACCATAGCACTCTCTTTCTCCTCTATGAATGATCCATCAGTCGCTTCCATATAGTGATTCATCACTGGTTTAGCTATCTTCTTCCAGCTTAAATCTGCAGGCAATTCACTTGTCTCCCATGGGGAATTAGAGTTCCATCTGTGATTACAGAATCAAAAGGAGACCAGTATTAGCTTTACACAAATAAGAGAGAAGATGATGAAAGTGAAGGGTTTTCGCAGTACCTAGTGAAATAACCATGTTCAGCTGAGATACCAAGATTTGGGCAAGAGTCAAACCATTTGCTGAGAGGGTCCTTACCTCGACCACTAACAATAAAGACTAGATTGTTGGGGTCGTCACACAAGCGATTGAGAAGCGAGATGAGATCATCACTTGGCCTTTTATCCAGAGTATCCTGATCCATCATTGTCCCATCATAGTCCAATAGGATCAACCTACTGCTTGTTCTCCTATACGCAGGGACTATGGTTTCAGCACAGAGCCTTCTGAAATTCGGATCTAATGCAACCACCTTGAAAAAAAGACCGAATCCAACTCCCCAGAATCTCTTGTTGAAATGATCTTTGCACGCCCTTTGAAGATCTTGGTCATAACTCCGTGCCCAATAGGCCACATTGTGAGAGCTTATGTACTTGTGATGCTTCTGGTGGCGCAGATTTTTCTCTTTGTCCGACATTGTCATTGCAGAGCTCATCGCGTCAGTGACTGCATCGATGTTCCACGGATTAACACGGATCGCGCCACTCAGAGATGGAGAACAACCAATGAACTCAGAAACAATAATCACACTCTTCCTAACATCATCCTCCCCAAAACCTAAAGCTGCATCCAAAGCAGGGCTCCCTTGCCTAGTCACTGTGTACTTGTAAGGCACCAAATTCATCCCATCTCTCACAGCATTCACCACAACACACTCTGAGATCGCATAATAAGCAACTTTATCCAAAGTACTAACAGGTCCATTGACAAACACAATAGGCTTATAACCACCAGGTCTCCCAAATTTAGAATTGATCTCATCAGCAATCAAATTTATCTGTTTCTCTACATCTTGAACATCCTTACCTGAACTCCGAGCAGGATTAGTAATCTGCACGAGAACCACTTTCCCACGAAGCTCTTCGTTCTGTTCAAGAAGCTGACCCATCGCCCAAAACTTCAAGCTAATACCTTTGAACATATCCAAATCATCCACACCCAACATCACAATGTTCCCCTTGAACCGTTCTCTCAATCCCTTCACTTTCTCAGCGGTTTCTTCCGAAGCCTTTATCGATTCAATCTGCCCCATATGGATCCCAACCGGCAAAATCTTGATGCTGACAGTTCTTCCAAAGTATTCAAGACCAATGTAGCCTCTTTTCGATTCATAATCAAGACCAAGCATCCTACTACAACAAGACAAGAAATGCCTAGCGTAATCGAATGTGTGGAATCCAACCAAATCACAATTCAGAAACCCTTTGAGAATCTCGTCTCTCACCGGAAGAGTACGGTAAATCTCCGACGAAGGAAACGGACTATGGAGGAAAATCCCAAGCTTTATCCGATGAAACCTGTTCCTCAAAAAAGTGGGCAAAATCATGAGATGATAATCATGAATCCAGACGTAATCATCATCTGGGTTTAACACTTCAAAGATCTTATCAGCGAAGATCTTGTTAACAGTCGTGTATGCTCTCCAATTCGATCGATCAAAGAGAGAGCCTTGAGCTTGCGTCATAGGAAGAAGATAATGAAAAATCGGCCAGAGATAGTGTTTACAGAAACCATGATAATACTTGCTGAGCAAGTCACTAGGTAAGAAAGTAGGAACACATTGAAACTTCTCAAGCAAGTACTGAGAGACGTCTTCTTGCTCTGAGGGTAAAACGTCAGCGTTTAAAGATCCGACGTAGACGACTTCCGTCTCCGGAGGAAACCCATCTTTGAGTTGTAAGTATAGACTGTCATTGTCGAATTCGAAGCACCACTTGTTCGACGAAATGTCTCTGTGAGCACGAAGAGGAAGCTGATTCGAAACCACGATTCGTTTCGGCTTTGTAACCCACGCGCCGCCGTTAGGATCGTTTCCACCGTCTCCATCGTCAGTTTCGAGACCAGAAAGCTTCGTGACGGCATTGGGGATCCGATTTCGACCCATGATCCGATAATCATCAGCCGAAACCAGACTAAGCTGGTCTTTCCAAGATTCCGGCGACATAACGAAGAGAAAAAAAAATAAAAATTCAAACTTTAAATTGGGTAAATCAAGAAACCAAAGAAGAACACAAATTTGTTTCTGGGTTTTTCAGATTTCATAACATGGAGAGAAGAAAACGCGTAGTTACGAAGAAGAAGAAGAAGAGAGCGTCCATATTGTGGAATTTAAGAAGGAAGAAAAAACGGAAATTTTTTCGGTGAGGATAAGAACGAAACGAAAGAGGAAAATATAAAAATTAAAAATTAAAAATCAGTATGTGTGGAAATATTTGGACGGTCTTGATTTTCTCGAGATGGATATGATTGGTTAATATGAACCGTTAGATGAGCGCGTGTGGTTAACTCGAACCGACTTTGTCTTTGAATATAAAATAAAAAAGGAAACAAATCTTTAAAAGCTATAACCCTAATTACTGATTAGTTGCTGTGAGCTGTTTCTTCTCTCTTCTCCAATTATATTTCCACTTTTTTTTTAACCTAAATGGGAAATAAATATTTACAGCTATTCATTTCCATATATAAGTTATTTTGGAAAATCTAATTGCTGACGTGGATAATTTGCGGCACACGTCTTTTTATTTTGAAACAGATATTATTTTTAATACCAGATCTGATTGAAAGCTGCTCATGTCCATCAAAAACCTTAAAATTGAAGGGAAAAATATATAGTTTTTGAGGAATAACAAAAAATCACTATGTTTACAAATGCTATGAATTTGTAGTCACATAATTTTTTCCACAAATGCTAATGAATTTTGAAAAATAAATAAAAGAAACTAATATTTTTATATTTTCTATTAATTTATGATTGTAAGTAGTAAATATTAAAAAATGAAGAGGATTAGGGGAAATCTATAAAATTTAATTTTTCAAGCTGTCTTACTATAGTTGAAATTACATTACCAAAAGTATTCTTTCAGCATATTCTAAAACTATCACAATCATGGTATTCAAATATTAATAGCAAAATAGCAATTTATAAAAATAAAATAAAAATTTGCAATGATATTTTATTGTAAAAAGAAGATATGTACTTTAAAAAAAATCCGTATGATATGCTTGAACACACACAAAATCTGAGGCTATTATAGACAAATCTTTTTGTAAACTACATTTGTACTGCTAATGAAGAGTAACAATAATTTTGAAAAAGAAAATTAAAAATAAATAAGAGTAACAAATTATGTTGCATCAGCCCAACCATAATCACATAACTTCACAATTCATAATTTCATATCCCATAGTAAATTAAATAAAATTTTAGGAATATTGGTGGGTGGATAGTGAAAAGCCACGTGGCAAACATGTAGAAGAAACGTGGCGTGTTAGGGTGGGAAGAGAAAGATAGGAAAAGTCACGAGGCATGTGCGACTGATGACTTGGCATTACTCTCGCCATCAACGGCAGCTATGTTCTCCAATCATCTTCTGACACGTCATCCATTCCCTCGCAGGAACGTTTCAAACTTTTTTTCCGTTTCTTCCTCATTTCAACGGTATAACATCGACGGCCGACCATAGATTGTGACACGTGGCGTTATCTCAAAGGGAACATTTTTAATGCTTCACATCCAAATATACCTTTTTTCTTCAAATTGTATAGTGCTTCATCTAAATTTCAACATTTCTCCTAACTTTTAACTAACATCTAAACTAAACTCGTGATATATACTTATTTAGAATTTATTAAAATATTATTTTGATTTCCATTTTATTATTTTGCAATGTTATTAAGCAAGCCTTATATTTATAATATAATTTAAATCTTTATATATCAAAATAATTTACTGTACACATTTAAATTTTTATTTCTATCTTTTATTTTAAAATAAATTTAGTTATAATACAAAATAAAAACAATTACCTTCATGTTTTACTCAAGATATTTGTAACAAACAGTTGTCACTTACAACAAAAAGTTATATTTATACAATATCAACAGCTAAATTC